TCTGCGGCCCCCGCAGCTATGCAGTTTGCTGCACGGTCCGCGTGGGTAGCTCGGTGGTCCGGCCTTCTCGCGGTCGCGGCACACAGCGCCTTCGCCGCCTCACTCCTGGAGCTCCCTCCCGCCGGGGAGTGCAACGTCGGAGGGGAAGCGCCCGAGCTGCACGAAGTCCTCGCTGACGTGCGCTGGCAGCTCCCCGTCCCTGGCCCCGCTGAGCAGGCTGCATGCAGCATTCCAAGATGCGCATCCGACCGTCACTGATGACGCACACGCAAAAAGGTGCACGGGGAAAAAAAAAAAAAACAATTGGCCAGATTTTGAGGAAAAATTTGGCTAAAGTCCGGAACAAGCGACCGTAGACCAAGCAGTCTGTTCTATTTCGATTCACGGCGATTACTATGACTCTAAGGCGTAGACTTGCAACGTCCAACTTGGCCCATGTCGGGCATGCACTTCGGTAGTGGTTGGGGCAGCAGACAGAATTTCCACGATGCGCGCGCTGAGCAGCAGGCGCCGTCTAGGCCATATGGGTGGGTGTGGGTGCTGGGGGCGTTTTGGGCGAATATTTGAGTGGTCCAAGCAGGTCCGGACACCGCGACGCTCCAGCGGAGGCTTCAACTCCGATGTGCACGTGCCATGATATTGATCAGGCCACTGGCACAAAACGCAACAACCGGGACACAAGCCACCCCCATTGCCAACACCAACTTACGTGAATTCTGGTCCTCAAACCTGGCGGTTGTTGGGGCACAATTTGAGATCGGGAAATACGACCAACACTACAGCCACGGCAGCCCAGCCTAGGCCCTCCCCCAAAATTATTCACGCGTTGGACTTATAGATACTTATAGCATATTTGCGTTTCAGACAGTTTTCAGCCATGGGGCCTTGGATCTCACATTAGCATCTCCACTGCTCTGAATTATTGCGTTTTCGCTGGTATTGGCAACGTAGTTAAGAATAGGCGGCTGCTTTAGAATCATTCTAAGGTATAAAGCCAGACAAAAAAAACAGTGGCCGGGACACCGACCAAAACCAGTGACCGTGATACCGGGGACACCGGACAACCGACACCCCGCGCATTTGCAGATTTTCCGAAAATGCGCGCAAGCACGAACGTGGGCCGTGTAAGAAGTAGGGGTGGAGAAAGATAGACGCAAGCATGAACGTGGGCCAGGTTAGTTGTAGACCACTGGCGGCTATTGAGGAAGAATAGCGCCAGCAGCCAAGTGTAGGCCATGTCTGTTAAATGCCCTCCCCATGACCGAAAGTACCCACGATTCGTGCATATCACAAGCAGACGCGCCACTTCTGCGCGCTGCCCGGCTGCGGCACCTGCGCCGCCCGCACAGCCTGCACCGCCCGCACCGCACCGCTGAACGCAGACGGCGCGAACGCTGAAGATTGGCGACGGCACAGATGACACAAGCGAGTGCAGTGGGCACAAGCAGCGCGGGCAGCGCGCTTGCCGCAGATGGCAACGATGGCGCGGGCGGTTCACAGCTGAACAAAAGGCGGCGCTCAGGTGACCCAAGTGGCGCAGATAATGCAGGTGCAGGTGACGCAGGTTGGGCAAATGGCGCAAATGGTGCAGGTGGCGCAATGGTGCAATGGCGCAGGTGGCAGCATGGCACACATGGAGCAAGTGGCGCAGGTGCAGCTGGGGCAGCTGGCGCAAGTGGGGCAGGCAAAAAACAAAAAACAGGGTAGGTCTGGCCACGTTTTCCGACTGCACTCGAATTTTGCGCTGGGCCAAATGGCACTGACAGCTTACTAACCCATTCAAAAGTGGACTGGACAGATTCGAACCTATAGCCACGCAGTGCCTAGATGTTTCATTGTGGACTGCTTGGTTGGCATGTTGGTCCTTGGTTTTGTTCGGGTTTTGGTCTCTTCGGAGTTGCCCATGGCGGCCCTTCACGACTTGGGTAACATAAGAAGGTAGCAGGAGCTTCCCCGCCCTGGACGTTGCACGGCAACAGCTTCTCAGCCCTGGGACGCTGCACAACTCAAGATCCATTTTCCGCGTGTTTTTTCGTGTGTGATCAGATGTCCTGCAACATTGCTTATGCTTTACCCTGTCACGCACGACCGCTTGCAACAACGGATGCCAAGAGAGCACTTGAACTTCGCGGCATCCCTGATAACGTCACGACTTCAAACAATTTAGCGGATGGACAGACCCCACTTCGTGGCAATGTCATCCAAAATGCGGCCGCGATTTTTTTGGGGCCGTTGATGCTCCGCACATGAGGCATGCGTTTGCCACGTAAGGTGCGACACGCCACGTGTACCTGCAGCCATGCGCAAGAGAATGCGCAGCCGAATCCACACATCGATAGTCAGCGCCAAAAACCCGAGTGAAACACTGGAGGGCGTCATGGGTATATAGGCGAGTGCCTCTAATGCAGTTTCCCCACCTCAGGGCCGCAACAACATCCACTGCATCGAACACATGTGTTGTTTCTTGAACGGATGTGAAGGTGCTCGTAATTGGGGGGGCGGGGCTTGTTGTCATTCGCAGTTGCGCTGCTCCAGGTTCGACATGTGTGTCAGCTTTGGGAAAGTTGCTGGAGCGATACCATGCAAACTGTTCCCGCTGGGCGGGCCAACACACAGGAAATCAAGTTTCGTGCACCCAACACGTGCAATCTGCACGATATTGAGTTCGCTTTTTTTCATGTTTCATGACGTGAGGATTGCCCTTTTGGTTCTTTTTGCGCCGTAGTTGTCAGCGACATTTTGACAGCTGGCGCTTGCTTCTGAATGCTCAGTCATCTTGGATTGAATTCGTTTTGGTGGTTGTTTACCAGAGCCGTTTCCGAACACAGCAGCCGTTGTCATGAAGATTGCATGACACAATTACAACAGGAAGTTCAGAACAAAGCGCCGGCTCAAGACGTGTCACGAATTACACGGCACGTTTGGGCGCAGCATGCAAAGTGCAGTCAGCAGGAATTAGGCCATGCTTGCAATGCCCGGCTTCCTTGCCGAGTGTTGAGATCATGACGAGGGACGATTTGGAAAAACGGTTGGCAGAAGCGCGCCTCTCGACCGTGATTCCCAACCTGGACAAATTTGGCATCCACGATTTGGAGGTGCCTCCTTGGTGTTCTCCTGTTTGCTTGGTGTCTTGTTTGCACTCAAGGCGACTTACCTGCGTTGGCCCAGGATTTGATGATTCTTGAAGATGAAGATCTTGAGCGTATGGAGCTCAACATTGTTGAAGCACGCAAGATGCGGAACCTGCAAAAGACACTGCGAACAGGCGGTTTTTGTTTTCAATTTGTCATCATGGGTGCTTGTGAATCCTAGCGTTTGTGGTTGGCAGGCACTCCACAAGCTGATTCGTTGCCTTCACCGGCGCCTAGTGGTCGCACCCTCTCGAGCGGCAGCTGGTACTGGGAAGAAGGTGCAATGTCGCAGGCACGCATAGCTTGATCTGTGATGATTTGTTTCAGAATCCACTGCGCATTGATACATCTGTTTGATTATTCTCGCAGCTTTGCTTCTGGCACGGCCAAATCTGCAGGTCTTAGATTTGGAGTCCTGGGAGCGGGAGGCAAGCCCAGCGATTGTGGAATACCAAGCCGCATCTTGGATGCGTTCGCAAAACTTTTCACTGCTGAGGCTTGAAGTTTGGTATACCAAATCCCGTACATGCCGGCTGCAGGAAAGGCCTGGTTATGTGGATGTGCCACATTTCAAGATCATTGGTGCAGAGTGGGTGCTGCAGGGCAAGAAGAAGCTATACCGCCGTCTGATTCATTGGAAATTGCAACCAGAGGATGGCTGGAAATTTATAACAGCAGAGCTTCCAGACCAGACCCAAAGAGTCGCCAGACTTGAGAAATTCCGCAAGCTTTGCGAAGTTGTTGGGCAACTCGGGAGGGATGGTTTCGAATATGATGGAAGGCGCTATTTCTTCGTGAGCTCGAGCGGCTTGTCTGCTACCGTAAGAATTTCGTACTTCAAACAAGTCTTTGCAATCCTGGGATGTTCGTCAAACTGAACCTTAAGGCAAAGCTGCTGAGTTCCCCCGTGGGCCAACTGCCTGGCTGGCCAGCCCTGAATGCTATGCATCCGGCCGGGAACAAATTGACAAGCTGATCGGATTTCCTGAGGTCATTTTGGGCGAAATAGTTATTGATTAAAAGCAGTTCAAGGGGAAATACGTTAACTTAAAAGAGGAAAATTAGCCCCAAGGTCCTCCGCTTGGAATGCCCTTCGATTCAGCTGCCATTCCTAATTTTCCGCTTGAGAGCACGTGGAAAGCAATGGTTCTCGGCCATCATCTCGGTCATTTCCGTGGACGCAATCCATATCCAGCTCAAGGACAGCTTCGAAACTTCAGGCAGGGTCCCAGCCTCTTTTCTCCAGTTTTATTGCAGATTTGAGACGGCAAACTTCTTGGCCAGGTGTCGTTCGAGACGATGGAGCCGGGGAAGCGGATCCTGAAATCTTGAAGGCCTTAGCCTTGGCCTCCAACACCAGCCCTGAGGACCCAGGTCATTTTGTTTGATTGTTGCATGAAGTCTTTAAGAATCGTCACATGTTGTGTTATTCTATTTGTTTCGTGTGGCAAGAGACAGGGGAGAAGATTTGAATTCTGGACTTGGATCCGCACATTTCGCCGCCAAAAGTCTAGCGGTGGTGGCTTCCCATGTCTCTGCCTGGGCCGACTCGATGAGCCTGGAGGCGGCTTGATCCCGAGTGCACCTCTATTGTGGTGGGGCGTGATATTTTCAGAGGTGATGCTCCGAGACTTTACGAGGGTGGGAGCCCTCACATCGGATGGTCATTTGTGAGGGGCTTGGCTGACGTGATCCGCTGCAGCTGTTTGCTCCGATTGTGGTACGCCTTCGGGTTTTCTTGAGTTTTGTGGACTCTGTTGGCTGTCAGCGCTGATGCGCCACTGCCCATTTCCCCTTGGCCCTGGAGGTTTTAGTTCGCGAGTCCGAGAGGAAGAGGTTTTCGGAAGACCGTTTTCCCCCAAGGTTGAGTACCCTTTTGATCCATGACCTTGATCTTGAAGAGAGCCCATATGGGTCACTCATTCGCACGCTGCTTTGCTGTCTGCCTTTACTACTGGGCAATTCAAAGCGACCTCACCTGTACCTAAATGACCTTAAATTGGGAATTGAAATTAGCTTAAATTACCCTGCTTTACTAGCCTTCCCCTTGTGCGTGATGGACTGTTTGATGGACCCTCCATGCCCAGCTTTGCTGATCTGTTTTTTTGTGGTGTGGGGAAGGGGAAACCCCCAAAATTGTCAAATTTGGTCGTGTTTCGTGGGCCGGGCCTCGAAAATAAGCATGACGAGGGGTCTGTTGTGATGCCGTTTCAGGGGCCGTGGAGGCTACACTAAGCCGTTACTGTAAGCATCAGCATGCAGCATGCATTGTAAAAGGGAGCAGGCCGCTTTGAAGCTTTATCTTTTGACCGTGTTCGACTCTGGCCTTATGCCCCAGGGCCCAGGGTTCAAAAACAAATACATCCGGACCATGAACGACGGCACTTTTGTCTTGGGTCCAGAAAAGGGAGCACCTGGATTTTGTACTTTTCCTACATGGTTGCCCATGGCTACTCGGTGGCGTCCTGTGGGAGCTGTGTTCTTCCAGAAGCCTCAGCTGCGTTCAGAGGACACGGGCCTTTGCCGGTCGGTAACGGGTTCGGCGCAGGTCCGCTGCGGAGGCTCTCCGGGACGTAGGCAGCCTGGCATTTTCACGCATCTGAATCAAACGATCCTGTGGAGGCGTCAAAGGTATGCTGCTGAGTTCCGTGCGTCTGGAAGGCACTGGAGTGGTGGAACTGCCAAGGACAGTGGTTCGGTTCAGGGTGCTCATTGTCTTCAAGGTTTGGGATTCAACGGAAGGTCCAGCAGTGATTGGGGATGATGACGCTTCTGTGAATTTTAGCTGCGGTGTTCTTTTTCCAAACCTGCGAGTCAGCTGCGATGCAAAGAAGCAGCAAGGAACATGTTGAAGTTTGGGCCCGAGACCTTCAGCAGAGAGCAGCTGGCAGTGCTGAGCTTCAGCAAAATTCGACCGACTTCCCTGTGCTTGGATCACGTTTGAGCAGCTTTTACGGGATGTCTTGGACGCTTGCAAATTTCATCGCGCTTCCATCGAGTAAAGGGGGAAAACGAAATTCGTGTTGTTGACCCAGGAGCTTGGATACGGTGCTGCGGTTAGAAGCATGCGAATGCGATGCGGCCGTGCTTCTGGGTGGCTATAAGCAAATTGCGCATAGCCAGCATGTAGAAAAAACTGAGACTGGATCTGTATGAGAGGGAAGCATGACAGTCGCAAATTGTCTATGATCCAGGTTTGTGGAGCAGCAGAAGAGACACCTGAAGAAGGTCAGTGGGATGAAGCGAGAGGATGCATTTGGCCAGCTCTATTTCGAAGATTTCGAGAATGATCCACTGGAGGTCTGGCGCACTCCGGTTAGGGTACTTTCCTCCTGTTTGCTGACATGTCTGCCTACTGGAACAACCTGAAACCTGAGGCAGGTGACTCGGAGCTCACGAGCCGACAGTTCATTGGGACGTTCTTATGCTCTTGTAGAACAAAATTTAACATTTTTATGGATACCTGGGCCCAATCTCAATTAAAAAGATCTTTTGATCCTTTTTAATTGTATTTCAACAAGAAGCCAGGTTCTTGGAGATGTTGCTCTCAGGCTTCGATCCCGAGCAGCATCCCCTGCTAGAGGTGATCGTCTCTAAAAAAAGGTGTAAAACTCCAGTTTTTTAAAAAAATCCTAGGTATAAGGGACCCCAATTTCCGGAAGAAAAATTTCAGGTGATCCTGCGCCAGAAGCAGGCAGCCTTGAAGAGAGCAAAGAAGCAGGTGCGCATCAGAGGCTGCTGGTCTGCTCGCGGTCACCCCGAACCCCAAGATCCCAACAGCGCCAGCGGAGAAGAGAATCTCGAGCTAAAGGACAACGAAGTCTTCCTCATGGTGCCTTGTGACGGAGAGGACCGACTCGTGACGTGTGCAGTTAAGCTTGAAGGGGTTTCCATCGAACACAACTTGGCAGCATCCTCACCTAGTTCCCTCTGCAAGGAGACCGGGTGGAAAGTCTTGAGCGGCAAAGTGATCATTAATTATTCATCTGACCGAGATCCCTACGCATTGAGGCTGGCCATAGCCAAGGACACCCCATCCCTGCGTGCCAAGTGCGAACCAGGTGTCCTCTTCTTTTCAAAGCTGGGACGCCCGCTTCAGGAACATCTTGGTTGGGATTTCGACGGTGATTATTTTCAGATCATCACCGACGAGAAGCTTGTGAATTCTTTCTCCGGTAGCATATTGCCAATGCCCCAACCTGAGTTAGAAGACACCGAGCTCAAAACCGTCCCTGTCGAGACGTGGGTGGACGTGAATGCACATTTCTTGTCCGAGTACCCCCCGAAGCTTGAAGTTTGTCGTGGAGATTTTGGGGGGAGGGGTACTAAGAAACAAACAGAAGGGGTCTGGAGTCTGCAGCTTGTTCAGCACACTTGTGAACAAGTCAGGAAAGATTTCATGGGCCTCTTCCACTATCAATGGCAGCTGCTAGCAGGAAGGGGGCCAAGGGCTGCTGCTTCAGAGACGGCCAGACAGGTGGCAGCAAACTACTCTCAGTCTCTGGATGTGGAGAAGGGGAAGCCATGTCCCAGAGAACCCAGCTTTGAGAATGCGAGAACCTGGGATTGCAGATGAGGATCAGTTTCCAGCTCTTTCCAAGTTGTTCTTCAAAAACGCTGATCACAGTGTATGCTGCCAGGAAAGTGGGATTTCATGAATGGGGGAGATCCCGAGAACCCCTCTGAGACAGCGGCTGGAGACTGTTTCCGACTTGCGGCAGCAGCCTTTGAAGAGTTCGAGTCGGTGAGGGCACGGTCTCAAAGCAGCGGCCAGGATCGTGATCTCGACAAGGTGGGTGCAGTTTGGGTCCATTACAATTCTTGTAGGCATGGGCTGAGAAGCCATTCCTAGGTCTTCGGCCTTCAACCTCAGAGCGCAAATGTACGGACTTCTTGTTGGACTAGGTATGAGTGGTTGGGACCTTTCAGCACTGAGTGTGAAGCTGGTTCCTTTGCCCATGAGACATGTATCCGAAGAGTCATGCATGCTGGAGCCCCTAGAACATGTCAGCACTGCCAGAAGCTGAACCCGTGTATTCTCATTCCTGTATGGACTGTGCGTCCATATGCAAGAGCAAATATGAAGTAGCATTTCCTAGAAGCACACCCTAGAATCCCGCAGCAGCCCAGAGACCTTCTACCACTCTTTCTCCGGGTTCCCTGAAGGCCTGGGAGTTGCTGCTGGGAAAGCATGGACATGCAAAGTGCCAGCAGATCAAGGTGGCTCTGCCCAAACCCCCCTTCGGCCCTTCATCACAAACCTTGTGTCGTCCAGTAACATCTAACAATCTAACATCCTGGGCATCTTTGGACTTCAAGTCGTGCCAGCAACTGCAAGATATATAAGCTAGCGCCACAATGCAACGCTTGGTAGAAGTAACCCCACCGCAGGAGTTGGCTGACAAGGTGCGTGGCCGTTTCATCGAAAGAGTCAAGGAAGAGTGCCGGAAGGCCGAGTCTGCCGCCCGGGAGAAGAATCCCTACGCGTCCCGCGAAGATGTGTTTCAAGATGCTTGGGTTTGGGACTTGCGCTCTCAGACCCAAAAAGAAGCACAGCAGCATGGAGTCGGATTGGCCGAAGTTGCCTTAGCAGGCTGGCACCTGAAGTACGTGGATCAAAATGTGAGCTCACGAACAACGGATCCTGACCCCAGCTTCCCCTGGACCTTGTTCCGTAAGGAGCTCTTGATGCTCAAGGAGCATGATTGCCCATGTTCCATCCGCGAGCTTCGCCACAATCATCATCTCTGCCGGATACTTCAGAGGGGCGCGGCAAAGGAAAACCAGCAAAAGGTGGCTGAGGCGATCAAGGGCTTGAAAGTCAGGATGAAGTGCCCAGAGTGCCATCAAGCCAGGGAAAGGCTGCTGGAGTCCCTCCACCTGGAAGGCAGCATCTCAGACATTGCCAAGTCGGTGAAGGCGATTTCGGGGCGTGGTTCAGTGATGGAGGTTGATTGCAAAGACTTGAGATACTGCAAAGACTACATCTCTGATGCCTTTGATAACGGCCCACAGTCCGGCATGAGGCTCCAAGAGTTGGCAGAGCGACTTGCGAAAGGGGAGCAGTCCGCGAGTGAGCTGGTCTTGACTGTTGTTTCATTTCATGGGCTGTGGTATGTGATCGAAGGCAACAAGCGATTGTGGTGTCTAAAGGAGGCACAGACGCTAACGCAAAAAAGACTCATGGCTTCGGTTCGGATTCCGGACCTGTATTTCGGGTTTGTTCAGCGACAGGACCACAAGGAGCCTGCTTTGCCATACTTCTTGCAGAGATTCAGCACGCGCTGCAATGGACAACACATCCAATTGCAAACCTCAGATCTTCCACATGGGCCTTCCGTTTCCAAGCACCATGTGCCAGGTCCATCTCAGCAAGCAGAAGATTTTACACACCCGGGCCGCCAGGATTTGCATCAGCAAGGGCAGAAAAGAGTGATGATGGGGAAGATGACTGGCAAGTCCTATGCGCAGGCGTATGAGGACGTAGGCTACCGAAAGTGGGTGCTCAACAACATGAACGACAGAAGTCAGCCGGAAATGAAGGACCTGAAGAAATATTTTCTGGCACAAACTGACGGCGTATCTCCGCGGGGTTCTCAAGCGGGGCAGTCCATTTCCCAGCGTCATGTACCAGGTACATCGCAGCAATCTGCATGCCAGGACTTGCACCAGCAAGGGCAGTGGCGCGTGACAGTGGGGAAGAAGATGCGTGACAAGTCCTATGCCGAGGCGTATGAGGACGTAGGCTACCGAAAGTGGGTGCTCGACAACATCAACGAAAGGAGTAATTCGGAAATGAAGCACCTGAAGAAATATTTTCTGGCACGGACTGAGGCGTAGCTCCGTCGAATTCTTCCATCCGAAGTGTAGGTGCCGGCAGGTTGGGACATCCATCTTTCATCTTTGCAGTGTGTTCAATAAGGTTTTTCCTCAAGGGTTGTGTCATGGTTCATTTTTGTTTGGGAGGCATTTCCAGGTAGACCCTTCATTGCAAGTCGGCAGACTGATCGCCTTTACATCCCCCAACATCATGTGTTCGACTCTGTTCGACTGGGAAATCGTAGACGTTGAGAAGGTATGTGCTGGAACGGAGCAGGAAACTCCGGTGTCAGGTGCGCAAAGAACGCATCAATGGCATTATGTATTGGTTGTATGTCAAGCAAATCTTGTAGGGTGGTTTGAATTTGCAACACCAGGCTAATGCACTGCACTCGTTTCAAAGATTTGCCGATGTGTGAAAACCGCTCGGTTCTCACGGTAGCAGCATCAGAGAGCAAAATATTTCGCCCGAGCACACAGCTAAGCCCCGGCGTAGGGGGTTGCAAGACAGGGAATGGATGAACAGTAGAAGGCCACTCAGTAGTTGCGCATTTGGGTACACACAGAATGAATTCAATGGCTCTTCTCGCTCTTTCACCTGCATGCGGCCCCCATCTTCGCTGAATGCCAATGTTGAGGCCTTAAAAAATTGTCAGGCAAGAAGAGCTTGATTTTTGAGGAAGGGGGCTGCAGCATGCAGATATGCTTCTTGCAATATCTCATGCTGACAATCGCGTTTGGGGGAGAGCGGGTGCCCGTGTGGAATCACAGGAGGCTCGAGCATGTCAGGCACCCCATGTACCAGTGTCGGACTGAGCGGTTGCAAACTCGCAGTTTTGTGGCTGCAACGCGGAAGTGCGAAGTGATTTGCGAGTAGTCAGGCTGCTTCAAGCATGTATGGAGTTTCTCAAGCAAGGGTGGTCCTTCGGGAATATCGGGATGTATGGAGATTACATTAGGGTTATGAAGGTCACTCGTAAGGGTTCTTTACGGGTTATGTTGGGAACCTCCAACAATGCGGAATTGCTACGGGTCAGGAGGTTGACACAGTTATGAAGATATGAATGCCTTGCCAAATCTTTGCTGACTTTTGTTGGATTGCTGCTAGGGAGTTTGAATTAAGTTACCATAGTGAAGACAAATAGTGAATCATATGGTTTTCTTCCAGGGCAGCTTAACTTAGATCTTGATGATTCAGGACGCCAAAACAATCCGAAGCAGCATTCACAGGCAGCAGGAATAGCACGCCATGGCCAAACAAGAAGATGAGGATGACATGCCTCCGCTCGAGTATGTAGGTGCAAGTACTCCTCTTGAAGTGCCTCTGCGCGAAGGCGACAGAGTGGAATTGAAAGGGCTCTCCAAACAGGAGCTGAATGGCCAGAAGGGCACCTTGCAGAGCTTTGCACAGGCCGCACAGGGCAGGCTAGCTGTGAAGTTGGACTCCGGACAGCGCGTGTCAATCAAGCCGGAGAACTTGGCCAAGCTGGACCCACAAATCAACGGCCATGCTCCTGCTGCCCAGCAAGCGGCCGATGATGCAGACATGCCGCCTCTGGAATATGTGGGTGGCACAGTGCCAAACGGTACTGGCGACGCTGATGACGATGACATGCCGCCCTTGGAGTACCTGGGCAATGTGCCTGCAGCATCCAGCAAGGGTCCCGTGGCCAAACAAGAAGATGAGGATGACATGCCTCCGCTCGAGTATGTAGGTGCAAGTACTCCTCTTGAAGTGCCTCTGCGCGAAGGCGACAGAGTGGAATTGAAAGGGCTCTCCAAAAAGGAGCTGAATGGCCAGAAGGGCACCTTGCAGAGCTTTGCACAGGCCGCACAGGGCAGGCTAGCTGTGAAGTTGGACTCCGGACAGCGCGTGTCAATCAAGCCGGAGAACTTGGCCAAACTGGACCCACAAATCAACGGCCATGCTCCTGCTGCCCAGCAAGCGGCCGATGATGCAGACATGCCGCCTCTGGAATATGTGGGTGGCACAGTGCCGAACGGTACTGGCGACGCTGATGACGATGACATGCCGCCCTTGGAGTACCTGGGCAATGTGCCTGCAGCATCCAGCAAGGGTCCCGTGGCCAAACAAGAAGATGAGGATGACATGCCTCCGCTCGAGTATGTAGGTGCAAGTGCTCCTCTTGAAGTGCCTCTGTGCGAAGGCGACAGAGTGGAATTGAAAGGGCTCTCGAAAAAGGAGCTGAATGGCCAGAAGGGCACCTTGCAGAGCTTTGCACAGGCTGCACAGGGCAGGCTAGCTGTGAAGTTGGACTCCGGACAGCGCGTGTCAATCAAGCTGGAGAACTTGGCCAAGCTGGACCCACAAATCAATGGCCATGCTCCTGCTGCCCAGCAAGCGGCCGATGATGCAGACATGCCGCCTCTGGAATATGTGGGTGGCACAGTGCCAAACGGTACTGCGGGCCACCAGCCCGCGAAGCTGGCGAACAGAGGTCTTCAAGCACCGATCAGACAGGCGGAGCAGGATGCCGAAGATGACATGCCCCCCTTGGAGTATGTTGGGCAGGACTTGTCAGCTGGAGTATCTCTCCTAGAAGGCGATAGAGTCATGCTGAAGGGCCTTTGCAAGGCTGGCTTAGATGGCCAGACGGGAAAGCTTCAGAGCTTTGAGCGAGCTACCAAAGGAAGACTCCCGGTGAAGTTAGATTCCGGCCAATTGCTGGCAGTTAAGCCCATCAATTTGGAAAAGCTGGCGTCGGCCGGCGTTGAACGTTCGGTGCCTGCAATGCCTTCCACAACACAGAAGGTGCCAGCAGACAGCAGGGCCGCCAAGGTTGATGAGCCTGTGGCAGAACCCAAAACCACCGAGGGAATACCTGCAGAGAGCAGATCGCGTCAGACAGCGAAGATCCCGGAGGACATCTCAATTGATTTGCCTTTGGAATGGTTCTGGCATCAAGGTGTCGGTGAATCCTCGACTCATAGGTAAATGAACACATTTTCTGGGGACTTGTGAAGTCCAAAATTGGATTTTCCAAACATTACGGGTCCTGCTGGTGTAAACCAGCAG